TATATATAATATATATCCTTTGTCCTCGGTGACCCAGCTCTACAAAATAACATCAGTAAAACTGCAGTAGGTTTCGCTCTGACACATCAAACAAAAAGTGAATCCTTTTCATCTCAGCAATATGGCATAGAGGATGTTTACCCTCATCATCCCATTAACTTGTTCCAACCAGAATTACTCTTGTACAGCACTAAAAACAAGAGTCCCTCCTCTCATCCAGGAAATACTTCAAATCTGAATTTACAAGCCGTCGTGGCTGACCCAGACGGTGTCTGGGAGCAGGACCCAATCTGTTTAAAACCCCATTTGGACCTGTGCCTCGTGTCTGGGTTTGGTGTGGTCTCCTCTTGCTCAGTAAAAGGCTGGTTTGACAGACAGACCTATAAACAAACAGCTTTTATCTCTCTGAGAGAGACATGGCAACAAAGAGCCCAGCTGCCTGGCCATATTTCCCCCATCCCTCTATTTTCCCCTTTTATCTTTCCTGTCATCGCCCCACCGTGCTGAAGAGGAGGCACGGAGTGATGTAGAGGTGCACTTAAATCTCACAGGTTTGTTTTTAACAGCCTCTTTGTTGGTAAGCTATAGCTGTTTTCTGCCAATGACAAGGTTGTGATATGAGTAATATCCTTGATTTTCTTGAAAGGCGAACACACTTTTCCTCCTGAATCATACACAGCAGTGATCACTAAGCTTAATAATGATTTTCTGCCCTGGTATCAGTAATATTAATTAATTTTAATATTATAAATTATTGAATCATACACGGTTATTTGTAAAGTAGTTTGGTCACGATTAAGATCTGTTTAATGTTCATGTCTTAATATTTTTTGTGCTCACATCATTTAAAAAGATTAACCAATAAAAACAAGCTACTGAGGCAGCACAACAGAGATATTGTCATTTTGCTTGCATGCCTCCTTCCTGCTGCCCATATTACCCACACTGGAGAATCAGCTGTGTTATGCTCGTGGAGCCTGATGTAGCTTTGAGCTGAGGAGTGGGCGACAGATGATATCTGGTAACTTCAAGTGCCATCACTTGACATTTATCACACTTCACACGGCTTTGTGAAGTGACAAAGGGCACTGTGCAACTTTCTTTAACATATTTAGCAAGGTCCTGTAAACACAAGTGGAAAATTGGTGGTGTTCCTCTCTAAAGTATTAAAAATCTCTGAGGCCAATTTGAGGCTTCCCTTCTCCAAATAACCTTTCTAAAGCACCGGGGTTTCCTGCGCAGTGAAAGACAAGAAAGAGCTTATCATGGTCACAAAATATTGACTGAGATTTTGCCAATATTTTCTGATGACAGCGAGACGCTTCGATCAATACCTTGTGACCACAGTTAGTTCTTGTTCACTCGGGTTACAAGAAGCAAACCCAGTTCTGGTCTGATATGTGCAGTCCTACGTGCCTAGTCATGATTCCCTCATACGTACCTCCATCTTGTTGAGGGACACCCAGCAGTCCGATGGGAACTCCTGCAGCATGGGGACCAGGAACTGTAGGCAGCCATCCCAGTGACACAACAACAGCATCATACCGATCAGGTTAAAGATCCGCATCACCGCGCTGGCTAGGTCATAGGTCATATGAAAGATCTGGAGACAGCAAGGCAAGGAGAGGAGTTTATATGTAAGATTATATTGGAACATGAACTCAGTAATTATGGCTTTCTTGACAGTGTCGTAAGTTTTATCTGATGAGACTTCGGCGCTATGTGTTCTCCAGCTGCCTGCATTTCGACCAGTCGAAATGATTACCCCCTACCTCCAATTCATAATTGCTTTACTCTGATTTTAATGGAAAACATCATGAGGACAAGGAAAGGGGAACTTATAAGGACTTGGTAAAAGAAAAACTTGGTAGTGCTGCACTCTTGAACAAATGACTGCAATGTTGAAACTACAATGCCCAGATGGGCTACAAAATGCTTATTGGACATCATTCCAGCGTGCTGTTTCAGGCAGTTCGTATATATGACAATTTTAATTTTTAAAATCATGGATGTTAAAAAAAAAGCTGAAAACAGAAGGATACATACAGCTAATACAAAGTGAATTGTAGTAAACTTTAAACATGTTTTCGATTAAGCTTTTCCTTTATATGTAAATCTTCACACAAGGGAAAATCTCAATAAGTAGCAAATTTGATCTTTTTTCTTTTCATAAAAGATGCTTCAGTGTATCATGTGGTCTTATTATGGCTGCCGTGCGGATGCATCCTGGTCACTTCACACATTCAGGAATGGTCCTGAGCAGATTTGATTACCTGACCCACCACCCTTTGTGCTACTTCCTTTTTTATTTGTTTTCACTTTCTCCCTTTGTTTTCTGTCCACAGTTGTTAGTGTCTGATTCATCCCACTGTACCTTATTAACCTCCTCCTCGCCGTGTCTTTATTCTGTGTGTCTTCTTTCACTCTGTGTCACAGAGTCAACACAGCTTCCTTTTGTTCTGCAGCCTCTTCATTCTCCATGTTGGTATTTATAACCCCGGCCAGTTTGTCTTCTTGTGTGTGTGTGTGTGTGTGTGTGTGTGTGTGTGTGTGTGTGTGTGTGTGTGT